AGCGCCCGTCTGCGTGCTCGTGACTAGCCGAGCTCTGGCGGCGTGCCGGGCCAGCAGTTGCCAGGCCTCCCTAATCTCTTCCTTGTGTTCCCATGGGCGAGCGTCTGCACAGCAGCTGAGGAAGTGTGCCAGAACAGTTGCCTCATATCCCTGCAGTCATTCCCGCACGCAGCTTCTCGTGAAGGATGCCCGAGCCTTTCGGGACAGGAGTCCTGCGCTGGCTTCTCCCAGTGGCATGGGGGCACTTGGCTCTTCTGGACCCAGCTGAGCTCAGTGAAGAGTTCTGAGGACAAAGACCTCTGAGGCCTCTTGCTGTCCCTATTTTTCCATTGTTTGGCTTAACAAATGTCTTATTCCAGCCTCACACTGCCTAGCACTTGTACGCAGTGCTGCATTACATACATGAGCTGTAAGTGCCTGTCACTGGCCCCACTTGGGGTGTCCCAGGCGCAGCTGACCGCATGCTGGGCCAGGCAGGGCAAGCGCTGGCTCTCCCCAGAGCAAAGGCTGTTTGATCTCTTTGTGTGTGTCTGTCACACTGCGTTCTTCCTTCCCCCCTAGACCTAACCCTGTCTGGCCTGCCCCTTGCGCTCTTCTCCTAGCGTGTGTGAGCAAATAGATTCCTGATGTGCTGCCTGATGCAAGGGCTGCTCGCTGAAGTACACAACTGGATGAGATGGTCTGTGAACTTGCCAGGAGTTTCCCTCCTCGGTGAATTTGTTGAGGTGCTGGACCGCAGCTCTGGGGGACAGAAGTAGCATTTGCGTGGGCACTGCTAGAAGTGTCTTAGACTTGAATTATTGCCTAAACTTAGGCTGTCTGTGTCCAGGTGAAGTCTTAAACATATCTGGGATGAGGTAATGTAGTAACTTAGTCTGTGAGGGAGGAGGAGATGTGAAGCTCTCCTGATGCGATTGCCAGGTTACTTCTGTGATGATTCTTCAAGCTGCTGCGCCTGGGGTTTGTCTCTGCTGCAGCGATGCTTGGGTAGGTCCAGCCACGCTCTGCCGCTTGTTAGAGCAAGGATGTAAGTAAGCTCTGTGTGTGGGGAAATGCCTTGAAGTTGCATGCTAGTTGAACAGCAAACATGAACTCTGTACTGCCTGGGTGTTTGTGCATTATTGAACTTCTCCCACAGGTGCCCAAGCAAAGCCAGGACTTCCAGTCCCACTTCCCTGCTGCAGCAATGTCTGCTTCCTTCAAAAGGCATGGGATTATTTGGATTAAATGTCTTCCTACACTGAGAAGAAGGGCTGTGCATCTTGAGCATGAAGCTTGCTGTGGGGTGAACTAATTGCTGGCTAGATGAGAGAGGGCTGTTTTCTCAGAGGGTTTGAACACCGCTATTGGGAAACGAATGTTTGGTGTGCTGAGGTGTTCTGTACCACACCTTCTCCCCGCTCTCCAGCCCTGCCAGCCTGACTCTTGTAGCTGTTGGATTTCTCCCAGGCAGGCTGCTGTCAGGACACAGGGGGAAGGTATGTGTTTACCCTGAACATCAGCCAAGGTCTTGATGAGCAGAGCTCCTCGTAGCAAATGGAACAGCGTTCCGGCCTCTGCAGTGGAGGTAGGCAGCTGCCTGAACCTCCCTCTCGGTGTGTAAGACACTGCCTCTTTCAGAGGAGCAGAATGCCCCAAGAAGCCAGGGCTTTGACCAGTGACCAGATCGTGGGCTTTCAGTTGCCAGTTTTTGAATAAAAGCAATGATGTGTGGTGGTTAAGAGAGAGAGAATGATTTTGACTTCTCTTCCCAGTTCTCATGCAATATCCTAATACTGAAAAGGACGGGGGTTTGATCTGTGCTGACTTGCCTCTTGAATTCATGGTTCATTGAAGAGGTGTCTACACTAGAGACGGTATCAGGGAAAATGTAAGCTTCCATATTTCCCTGTGCTTGTACTGTCCTCACCTCGGGCTAAAGGGACTGCTGTCGTCATTGCCTGTTGTATTGCTATAGAGATGAACATGTCAGACTGAGCCTGTACCAAAAAAGCTGTGGGAGACACAAATCTGAGAGCACACTGAATTCCTTAAATGACTTTTTGTGTGCTAGCCCCTTCTTCCAACAGCAGACAGTGCTACTGGAACAATAAATCACTGTTCTGATCAGTTGTGCTTTTACAACACTAGTAACAGGCTTTGGTAAAGGCTTCTGAGACCCCATCAGATGCCCCCTGTGTGGCATGGAGAGCAAAGTTCCAGTGTTGGTGAGCACTGCTAAACACAAGCGTGTGTGGGTGTGGAGGCTCTAACCAGTAAATTAGCAGTTGTGTCTTGTACAGTGACAATCTTGTGAGCCTTGAACCATTGCCGCTGTTAACCACTGGTTTCTGCGGCTTGATCTGGTGTGTTCCTTTGGGTTGTATTTAACGTCGACCTTCAGGCCTCTTCTAGGGGATGAGCAGTGCTGAAGTGCTCTTTGCAGCTCTGCTTTTACCTGCTGCTTTGTACCAGCGGCTGCCGCAGGCCTGGCAGCATGCGGAGGCAGCACGCCCTACCTCCAGGACTCTGACTGTCTGGAAGTATAAGATAAATTGGAACCAGTTTGTCTAGTTTAATTTTGGAATCTGCATTTTGTGAGCAGTGCCTGGCCTGAAGGAAGCTGAGCAGGAAGCCGGGGCGTCATCAAAACTCGCGCATCTGTATTGGCAGGAGGCTGGCTGAGCCCAGGCAGGTTGTTTGCCTCTTTGCTTTAGTTTCCTTTCCCCACGGTGGGCATTTCCTGATGTTTGAAGCTGAAGCCATGTGATGAGTGAAGGTACGTCCCATTTGCTAACCTGGTGGGAACATGCTTGCTGTCTAGTGAGTGATCAAATGGACAGTACAGCACATCAACCTGGTTTCCTCAAATATCTCTGAGCCCTTCTGCTGCTATGCCTTTCTGCCCCAGCTGCATCATCCTGCCCTAAACTTCTCTACCTGAGAGATGGTGAGGCTGTGCCATGCCCTGTCCCACGGGGCAGGGTGGTTGGGATGTAGGGCTGCCCCCACTAATGACTTCTGCTGCATTGGACTAGCTGGCATCACGGAGTAATGCACTTTGGTCAGTCCTCCCCTCAGGGAAGGCTCTGTCCCAGTGAGCCCAAAGGCTGTGCGATCACAGGGGAAACCTTCACCCTGCTGATGTGTCCTCCAAACTGAGTGCTGTGCTCAGTCCAGGGTCCTTGCTGTGCTGCACCCCTGGGTGCTCAGGCCCAGCTCTCAGCGCTCCTGGCCCAAGTCCTGTGCCAGAGTGTGGAGGGCAGGGAGAGCAGCTGCAAACCAGGGCTTAGAAACTCGAGGGTGAGGAACCGGAGGGCAGTTAATTTATAACTGGTGTGCTTCATGTTAGCTGGGAGCCAGCAGCTGATGGGCTGGTGCTGGCCCTGTGCTAATGAGCTTGGTGAGCTCGCAGCTGCTTGGCTGCTGTTCTCCCAGCCCC